TAAACGTTCACAATATGTCAACAGATACGACGCATAAATATTTCACAGGAGAACTGGACACATGAAAGGCCAGAGTGTGATTCAAGTCTGGCTACATCAACAGCAATTCTGACACCAGAATTCTATATAAAACAAACCTTGTAATTCTTCTCTCAAACAAAAACATGGCGAGTAAGCCGAACTAACACAAAGATCGCGAAATAAAAACAACAGAGCCAAGTCGCTGGTGGATGTCGTCTCCAAGATTTCTCTCCGAACGGAATAAAGAAATTTTCAACATGCGGTGCGAAACGCTGGTGCCTCGACAAATTAGTGTTAAATTCGTCTTAGTTATAAATACTTTGTTTCAACCTGTCATTAAACTTGCCGCTAGGTGCTAGCATAACTTAGTAGGTACATGTTTTAAAAATAAATAGAAAGAATGAATTTTATAGATAATATATCCAGTAAAATTCTCCACATCAACCTTGGTATACCGTTTAGTGTTATACGTAATTTAGCGCAAACTTTAAATGCACCCCAGGATTTCGGCGATGCTGACATCATGGTGATCCTGCTTTAGGATACCAAAACGGGTTAACTTTGAATAACGAAAATTGGGAAGAGAATAAGAGTAGATCAGAAAAACACGCCGACGCTTCCGTCTTAGACGAGAACCACCATCGAGGTGATCAGTTCTTCTCGCGGGGGCCACGAGGGCAGAGGAGACTTGGAAAATAATTGAACCTTGGCGACCTCGGAGTAAAGGCTTGCAGCAGTGCTGCAATTGCCGGCAGTGCTGGAGCAGTGGCTTGCAGCAGTGCTGCAATTGCCGGCAGTGCTGGAGCAGTGGCTTGCAGCAGTGCTGCAATTGCCGGCAGTGCTGGAGCAGTGGCTTGCAGCAGTGCTGCAATTGCCGGCAGTGCTGGAGCAGTGGCTTGCAGTGATATATATCACGGATGCGCCTAACGGAGGCAAAGCCTGCTATTCAACGTCCGATGGCCCAGTAAACCTAATTCGGAAACTTTTATTTATAACATTTTGAAAATAATTATTGTGTATAATCATGCAATCAATTAGTAAATGATCAATCTTCGAGTATTGGTCTTCGTAAAGATCAAATTAGCAAAGCTCATTTAATTTGATATTATATATTTAACATATATTTACTTATTCTGAAATGAAACTAAAGATATCGTAGACGGAAATAATCAAGTTTTTACTCTCGTTGGAGCGAAAGTGTCAGCGGACTGCGCTCCTCCATGGGCAGCAGCTGTCATGAAGTTCAGAACTCGCGGGAGGCCGTGACGACGAGCCACCGGCCAACGCTGGACAACTTCCAGGACACTAACCCCTATAACTTCTAGCAACCTCAGTCCTCACAACTTCTAGCAATCTGACAAACATGTACATACATAAACACTTCTGAAATAATCATGTAATGTCAAATATATTTCACGGTAACACGGAGAAAAATGTCACACTCAATCGTGCTTCGATAACCCACAAGAAATTATATAACTATTATATGTTCATTATTATATTATTATAACATGATAAGTTCAATAATAATAACCGCACTATATATTATTATATAGTGCGGTTTTCATGTACTCAGTATTAATTCATGAACGAAAGATATACTTCTGAGGTAATATAATGGAGTTAGGAATCAATTTTCATGCAAATTAATTATCTTGTTCAATTATAACAATGATTAATATACTTTTAAAGGATAGTAAATATGAGGAGCGTTGCACTATAAGCAGGCTGTCAATTATTGCGATACTCCGAGAGCTATTGCAGCACCTTGATTTAATTAAGCGTGGTCACGCTAAATTGTAATTCAAAAATTAAGAGTATTTCTAGAGTCGTGTAAATTTTCCAATCCAATGATAAAAACTAATTGCTGATATTAAATACGATGGATTGAATCAATTTTAACAGATGAATATGCAAACACTTTTCAAGAGAAACGCACAGATTCGAGCAAACAGGGAAAGCATTAAATTGCTGCCATTCAACGTAATGAAGCGAGGGAGAAAAAGACCTGCTTAAGCCCGTGATCCGTGACGGCAAAGAAGAAATAAAAGCAGGAAAATCTTAGCGCATGTGCAACTCGCACGCAATCACGTAACACGCACGCGAAGTCAGCCGGTGCGTCAACACGGTAACGTGCAATTACACGTGCGCCAGCAGCAACATCGTCATGACAACGAACGTAAACGAATACTTAGATAAACGGGAGGAACTGTCATGAGATACGGCGGAGGATTGAGACTGGGGAAGGGGTATAATATAGAAAACTTAAGTATGAAAAAAATAACGTAGACATTATAAACTTTCCTTTCGATTAAACAAAGTTAAATTATTGAGAAGCGTAGAAAAACTGTTCTGTGGACAAGCTTTTCGGCCTGGCGAGACTTGAAAAAAAACACTAGCCCCTATTATAGGCGATCAGTGTGCAAACAAAACCAAAGCGACTTCAATCAAACAAACCCAAAGATTCGCGATACCTCAAACCCAACTGATCTCATAAAGCGGACCGAAAATCAGAGCAAATTGCTGCAGCGACTTGTGCGCGAAATAAAACAAACGCCAAAATATAAAAAAATCTCATCAATTCAGCGAGGCTGAGAATTCAAAGCTGCGCCCTGAAATGCCTCAGCAACGAGACTCTCTTGCCTTCTCGGCCGTAAATGTTGGAAGCCAAAATACCGGTGCATGCACGACGCGGGCACGCTTTAGCCGAAGCTTTGTTTTTTGTTTGAATTGACACAGGCGACATCCAATTGAGTTTCTTTTTATGGGGAACGTTAAGTGTTTGGACCGGCAGTGTAATGAGCGTTTATAGCGCTAAAGTGCACCAAATGAGGCAATGCACAACTCCAGTTCTCTCTAATGAGATTGTGCGCTATTAGTTCCCAAAGCCACGTAACGTGCATGGATTCGCAAGCGCCAATAATGAGATTCATTATAAATGAATTTTCTTTATTTTATCGGGCGTACACACGTGGATTTTAGGGCACCTATTCCACATTGAACATTTTAAAGAGTTGCTAATTTACAACCACTAATGAGTCTTTGATCCTTCCTAAATTCATGTTAATCATTTGGGTTGAAAGCCTCATTGGCGATAATATTAAAATCAAAGGCTTTTGCCGCTTCATGATTTTTTTTCTCCCATAAGAGGGACAGGAATTTTCACATGCTAAATTCACCATAGCGCAAAAATTATTTGTAAAAGTTACAGGAAAAAATGAACATATCACACAAAACAGAATTCAAACTTTAATGAAAAATTTAACAACTCAAATGATTGTTTATGAGGACGACAATCTCAAAATGATCCCCGCACATTTTTTATGCTCTGCGGCTCAGCGCAATCCTATCAGAGGCTCACGTTGCTACCGCGAGCACATCGCAGGCTTGTTCTCTGCATATGACATTTTCTCTGGATTCATTAGTAGTTTTCGAAACACGGTAATTGTCCAATTAATTAAATAAATTGATTCAACTTGGAGCAATTTTCTACATGAAATTATAACAACACGAATGTAGTTAATACTTGAGTATTCAATATATTCGCCTGTTATTGTAGAAAAAAAGACGATCGAGAATGAACTCCACCCAAAAAATTGCGAGACGAAATACCCAAAGTATTAAGTTATAATAAATTAATGTCAACAGTTTTTACTTATTAGTTCAACAAATTCTTCTTAAAAACGTTTCACAGAACCCATGTTACTATCCCAATTTCTTAATCATCAGAATATAATGGTTTGAGGAATATACATAACTAGGCGCAAATAAAAAAAACAGAACATTTTCAAATGTCTAATTTATTTCTGGTAGCGATGCATTATATTGCACATTGTCAGGACATGCAGCTAGCACGTGGCGAGAACGCGACCACGAAGACGAGCTCTTATTTATGCAGTGCATTTCATCACTCAAGCGGGATGACGTTTTGACGCTCCTTGGAGCTTTAGCTCAGACACCGCAACGCACGTCTAAAAAAAATTTGCACAGTTGCGTTTTCATGAGGCGTTGGAAGACCTGAATCTTGCCGCTTGACCTGATCCGTCGCGGCACTAAGGCTCTGTAGCTCTCAAGAAAGAGGGTAAATGAAATGGAAATCCGAGTTCATAGAGGTTGAATGCGAAGCAAAATGAAATCTATGGACAGAAAGTTTAGTAAAGGGATAGAAGCGACAGAAAAATAAGAGATGAATTAATTTGAGGGTGTTATACAATTAGACAATAAAATAACATTTTCGTATAAATGCTTTCGAATAAATATTAAGGGTAGGAAGAAATATAAAGAAGTGCTTAGCGTTAGCGAAATGTAATAAATTTGAAACAGGGAAGGAGAGAAAGGAGAGACCATGCAGCTGATGTGACAGAAATACCTGCTTTGAAAAAGAAAAAATAGAAGAAGATTTAGAGGCCACTAATAAAGAGCCGTCAGTTAAGGGGTCCCTCATTTCAACGCAGCATGACAGCTGTCGGATCTCCAGCATCAAGGCAAAGCTTCTGCTGCATGCCAGGTTTGCATTTCTAGCTTGGGCCATGCTCGATATTTTCGCATGTACTTGAGTTTGAGAGGCTGCAAGCAGCACTGTGAAGCCAATTTTATCCGACATTTTCTGCTTGAATATGATTGTCATTGGGAAAAACTATAACGTTTCTCATGCAGAGAATCTGGTTAAGTACAGGTCGAAAAAAAGTGCAAGAGGAAATGAAACAAACTTTTCTTGCAAAGATCAAAATGGGATCAATGTATGATGTGACTTCGAAACATCATGTTGTTTCGAAGGAAACCGAAAACACTGGGACGACATGAAGTCTTCTATTAAGATTACAAGAAAGTCTCCAATCATCTAACATAAGTAACTACAAAACGAAGAATATAAAAAAAATGTTCAATTCGGTACGCTAGAAAAACAGATCTGAAGACAAGCAGGAAATTTCCGTTCATTTCGGACCAACAAAATTTCCGAAAATACTGCAGACTTTTACCGGACGTTTCGATGAAGCTTTTGGGCAAGACCAAAAGACGAAAGTCTTCAAGGAGCGGCATGTGTCCGTGACGTCCAGCGTGGAGGCAGAGGTTCTGGCACGCCAAGTTGATATTAGGAAGCAGTAGGGGAGGTCGTTAAGGGGACGCAAGGGACAAACTTTATGATATCTGCAACGTGATCGATTATGACTTATTACACACACGCACACAAGCGCATACACACACAACACAGCAGCATTTCCTTAATGACTGTTGTGGCTTAGGACATTTTCTGAATATTTAACGTATATGCCATTTAATTAAGTTAGAGGAAAGGTAGGAATCGTTTTCTCGTGACTCCAACACCAACCCGTGCACGCCGCATAAAGCTATCAAACTTTTAGAACATATAAAACAATACATTGAAAAAATATAAGGACAACAGATGAGATATTCTTGTGTAATTATTACATTTACTCAAGCATCTGTATATGTAAAGTTGATTTCCAAACTCATTTATTTAAATTTAGGGCTCATTTGTTCAATGTATTTTGTGTATATTTCGTATAGTTAGGCATTTAAATAGCTTTTATCGAATTAGTAGTACTGGCTCATAAAGCAAAAGCTCTCATTTTAAGCTATGTTATCCACGACACAACTACGGAATCAACAAATACAACTAAAATCTGAACTTATTTCGAAAGCTGGTGCTAATCATTCAAAACGATAAAAAGATAGACAAATAGTTGTCTACCAGAGATCCCAAGTACAAGTAAAATTTACCATCAACAACAGTATTCTTGAAGTCTTGACGGTGGCATGCATGAAGGCTGAGTTGGTTATAAAGCCAGTATTTTTTACCCGTCTATACCAAGCGCTGCCATTTGAAGACACTTGATGATCTGCCCCAACACTAAAAATATTTGCAGTTTTCAACATTTATTTGGCCCTCTATTCAGTTTGGTCGGCTTATCCAAGATCATTTGCATGAGGCGCGCTATAGCCAGGCACAATTAGTGCATAAAAAAACATACCATTAAACTCTATTAGAAAATTTTATAGGTATTGATACGTTCAAAAAGATAACCGAATGGTGGTACTGCGAGGAGAGAATTTTAAATTATATAGGTACATAAATGTCTATATATTACATTACATGCGCTGAATAGCACCAAAATAATCTAATTTATAATGTACGACTAGAACTGCAAATAATATCAAGTAGTCGCAATTAATATCGAGAAAGGTATCTATTCACCGATTTCAAATATGATATTTACACTTTCAAAATCTTATTAATTAAATAATCCTAAATCTGAACCAAACAAGACTTCTTCTATAAACGAGATTGCAATCCAACAAATATAGCAACCGGCAACTATTCAGAATTTTAATCTTTCTCAAATTTGAATGCCGCTCTGAGCCAATCGACGTCTCGCATTCATCAACCGCCGCTCACTTTAAAAATTTTAATTTAAACGAAATTTGCGCTAGTTTCCACAAACCTCCACCAGAAGTCCGGGCCAGAAGACGAACTCCTCGTCTTAGGTGGACGTTGAATTCTACGTCCGTAAGTACGCGCTCCTATACACTGACTAACCGCGCGTGTCTTTGTTTCACTGTACAGTGAGAAATATGAGAAAATTTTGACCAAATACGTAGCGAAATCGAATAGGTAGCAAGAAAACGCCGCACAACCTATAGGAGAGACGATTATAGACTCGACGAGATAAGAAAAAAAATACATTATTTACTATATAGAGTGAGAAGAATATGCAAAACATACATATATCCTAATTCGTATGCGATTAATTAAAGTAATAAAATTTGAGAGCAATAAACACGCTTATGCCGCATATATAATTCAGTATCACTTTGGCACGGAAAGAAGTAATTTCAGACGCGAGTCTTGACTTTGATCAAGAGGTTCGTTGCGTCTTGTCACGCATCAATGAAGCGGCAAACTCATGAACCCGAACTCTCATTAACCACAAAGTCGCTATTGATCTCAACTTGATTTACTTTGAAACTTAACTTCAAAGAGGCGTTACCTTCAATCGGACCCGCAGAGCAAATCAAGGCATCATCAAAGAGAATGGAAAATTGCTTATATATGATTAACAATTACCTATATATATATATTTAATAATTGGATTACCAGAAAATTCTCAGTATGTAAAAAGAGCATTGAATTTTATCCGGAAAAGTGTTTGTCCTAATTCGATCATTTCATCTAATAATGAAACGGATAATCTTGCTGACGTGAAATGCAACGTCATCGTAAATAATGATATCTAGCAATTAATAAGTATTTAAAAATAATGACACTGTAAAAAACTAAGTTAATTCTTGTAGATTAAGTATAGGAAAAAAATGACCCGCGCAACGGTCGAGGGAAACTTTTTCTGTAACTTAGTATAACGAATACCTAATTTTATCATAAGATAATTGTGCTGAAGCCAATTATCACAACGCAACACTTTCAAGATATACAAGTATGACTGAAGCATAACTGCATGCATTAAAAAGAACCAATAATAATTGTAGTAAGAAAAGAGCACGTACTCCTACAGTGCTGACATATTAAGAGCTTAGCTACTTATTACAGATAACTTATACAGAACCTACGTAGACCATCTTCAGTAGAAGAAAAGTGATTCAACAGCTGTAGAGGAATATATACAGATTAATTGAAGAATTTCCTTGCCTACTCAATCAGAAAGTGTTGATAAATCACCTCTTGATGTTAACACAGTTTTAGATTTCACAGTTCGGAAAAAAATGAAAAAACGGTCTTCCCGGCGTTCTAGTAACCAGCCGCCCTATGAAAATAAACAGTTTTGCCGTTTTTTTTGGATTTTACACGGGTTAACAGCGTAAACTTGGAAAAAACGGCAACACGGTGTTTATTTTCAGGTGCCGGCCGCTTACTAAAACGCCGGTAATACCGTTTAACGGTGATTTTTTTAACAGTGTATATATATACTTGATAAGCAATTTATTTAAAGTATTAAGTATCTAATCGAAGTTATTTAGAAGACATTGACAATTATAATCAACCTAGATTATAACACGACAATTATATAACATACATGAAGTTGCCAAAATTACTTATAATTGTTACGATTATGTTGATGTATTATTTACCCTAAACATTTATTGGATATGCTCGTGGCTCAAGAGAAAATCCAATTTGTCTCTCGAACGGTCAGCTCAATTATTCCGTTCGAGGCGGGCAGACGCGGCAAGAGTGAAATTCATTCGAAATGTCCAACGACGAGACGTCTCCGGGGAAATCAAGATCATTTACTCGCCTGGTCAACGTACACTTACCCCTGGGGTCGAGCAAATGCTCGGGCTAACGATTAAACTCAACCAAATACAATAATATTATACACACTTGATGGTTTAGAATTAAAATGAAAGTCTTCTAAAATTTTGAATTTAGCGTGAGCAATGTTTCGTATCACAAGAGGTTAAGAGGGAGAAGCGAGAATTATTTTCGTGGCGAGCAGCGACTGTAGCACAAATCCGAGAACAAACTTTGCTTACATGAAAAACAACGTTGAAAACGAACATTGAAACGTTGACAAACATTTGTCGAACTGAAAAACGTTGACAAATATTTGTCATAGAATCAAACAAGTTAACAAAGCACAAATATAATGATAGTTTCATGAAAAATTCCTACCTCAAGTCCTTGGAAGACGGCGGTACACCGATGCTCGGGAACGCTCCTGTCGATCTCGACGACCAGGCCTTCGTATCCTCCATCCACAAACTCCGGCTGGCCTTGCACGAATCTCGAGCCTAGCACAAGCAAGGCAAAAATTCCCCATGAAAATAAAAATCCAAGTCTGGAGCCACACTCACGGTCTCTCGTCAAAAAACCATTCGGTCGTCCGAGAAAATTTTGCTCAACCGAGCTTCTAGCGCAAAATTCATCACAAGGCGCCACTGTTTCCTGGCTTGAGTTTTCAACATTTGTTTGCCTTGCATCCATGCGGTCTCTGTCGTTCACATCACCTCGAGGAACAGCTGTATTTAAATGGGTATTGATCACATCCGAACTTTCTTCGTCAGCGTTCACGAGTCGGGATTGTCGAGTATAAAAAGACTCCAAAATCACACGATTGGACGCCATAACGTTAGGAACCGTAACGTCGTTAAATTTAGTCTCTAGTTTACCACAAAAGCGCTGCAAAGAGTTCTTTCTGAACGTATGGCCCGCCATATCGGATAACAATTCCAGAGCAGCTACTGCTAGCCTCTTGATGGCCCCATTCTTTTCAACGGCCAAGGTAAAAGCTGAGATTTTAGTCTGTTTTGTTCATCTAAAAGAACATTTTTTAATTGTTTTAAATTCCGTGCGAACGATCAAGATATTATAACAGCAATTTATTCTGGTGTATCACTCATTAAAATTCTGGTATAGGCGCTAACTATAAGCCCTGAGGGATGTAAATATAGACGAGTAAATTCACAATATTATAACCAATACATTCATCATTAATTGTAAAATCCAAACCGACCTTGACTAACTCCTGAATTCAGAGTCAAATTTTATGAAGAATCAAGTCATATGCAACTCGCGCCTCGCTTTGACAACCTGTGTATTAAATTTGGTAGTTGAATGCATGGAATACAGCGAACGCTGAGTCGGTCACGGCAAACATCATGTACGTTATAAGCATTATTTCTCAGGCAAAATTCAAACTTAGTTACAATAAAGTTCAGAAGGAGATCCATTGAGACTGGGTAAGTGTTGTTAAAAATATGAACCAATTTCCAGCTAACGAAAAAGCACATTTCGAACATAAAAATAATTCTACATACGACTTGACGACAATTTTAATTTCCCAGTGGTATCTACTTGTCAGGCATTCGGCGTACATAGTGAATTGCAAACAGCGTTATCATTATTCATTAATATCATGCAAATATATGCGACCAAATCAATAGATATAAGGTTAGATATTTGCCCCGGCAACGCGGCCCTCGGCATCCAGATTTATCCGTCTAATTAACGTGAGGCCAGCGAACTTTTTACCTGAGCCTCCCACCACAGCAGAGCCTCAACAATCATCGCTAGGGCACAAACATAGGCCTAGTGAAATTGCAATGAGAAATTAAACGATGAATAATGCGCCTGGCTGAGGATAACAAATCAGTAAATCAGTATGAGTTGAATAATTATGATATAATGGTATATATAATCATTGTTCATCATTTTGTTTCAATTACAAAAAATAATGATATAATTTAATGCCGTGCTTCACTATTTAGACTCTACAAGGTTCAAAAATCAACGCTGAGATGACAACAAATATAAAATGATCTTTATACTCCCACTAATTTACATGAGCTCGAAATAATTTGCATATCAGTAATCACAGCGATTGCTGCAGACTCGCCAAAGCACGTCACGACATTGGAAATTCCTGCCATCAAAAAACGAAACTTTACAATTAGCCCATCACGAATCAATTAAAAAACGCGCATGATGAACATAAGCAAAAATTATTTCTGAAATTAATGATCATAATAGCATTAACATACTATAAACCTACTTAATACCATCAACTTACGAGCAACATAAATGACGTAATGAATAGATAAAAAATCATGCCAAGTTGGTATGATTTAAACGCATAAACTAAGAGAGTAATGACAATGATTTGCTTTTTATTATGCACGATGCGATAGCTAAAATTCTGGAGAGTTCGTCTTTTGTTTCACGTCATGAAGATACCCAGAAAATTGCTCTGGGACAGAGAAATTTTCTCAATTAGAAACTGCTTTTGTTCGTTGCTGGAGTCGAGAGGCTGAAAATTTTCTAGCTCCGACATAATATATAGGCTCTGAAATTAGAAGTAAGGTTCAATTATATTTTGAACAACAGCTTTATGAGCTACATGAACTGCAAACTTTGTGATTTCAGAAACCTCGTTTTAGAATTAAGAACTCGTTTTTGCGCAACATTACCCGAAACTATTCTCGCGGTTGTTGAGAACTTCAAGATAAAGCTTCTCGATCCCGATAGGGAAGATCAGAACTCTGATTAATGTTTCAGGAAGATCAAGAACTCGATTAAGATTTGATGTTGAGCGAAGATTAACATTATATATCTAGAGCTTAAACTTCTTCTCAAAGTAAAATCATACAGGATTTAAGACAACAAGTATCACCAAAAAATGACTTTCAGGGTGAACAAATAAAGGTTAAAATAAATTTGGTTTATGACGTCGAGAAGAAAAACTAACGCATATCGGCATATGTTAAGAACTTTGTAGCATACACTTAAGATAAAGGTCACCCACAAAGCAATACGTGACAAAATATAACAAGTTGAAAGATCAAACGATTGGATAACATGATACATGCTATGAATAGCAGTATAAAGACCGCGAAATTCAAGTGTCAGATAAAAGTTTCAAATGGATTTTCCTCAAATAATTAAGTCACACAATGCCAAACCACTGATACTTTACTCGTTCATGGGCAACTTTTTCGACAACCCGTCAATAGAAAAATGTAAGCTAGCCAAGCACCATGATCCGTGGGTCTGGAGCTCAGCCAACAGAGCGCAGCAAGGCAGTACCTCCCTCCTCGACACTCAGCAACTCACTGGCAAGGGCAAGGACGCCAAAGTCGTGCACCGGGCCGCGTCCGGCGTATCGCGATGCAACACCCGAAACGCTGATAATTCCTCAAACTATTCTCCATGAACATCTGACTGATTTAACAATTTCATAAGCTCAGTTATTTTCAGATAGCATGAATATCAGATTACCGTTCGATAACATACATTTTTAAACAATATTGATCTGAATGCTTATTCCCGCATGCATTATCACGCTAATAAATATAAACGAAGTGACTCTATAGCCTTCAAAGAAAATAGAATTTCGTTGATAGAGCACCAAAGTTTTCTGTTTGTACACTGAATCACGACAGTAACTACAGAACTTAAGCTATGTCCAGACCAATCGCCCCTGCACGTCCTATTCTATGGGCATAATAGAATAGTTGTTGAACGTCTTAATGTTGATAATAGAATATTTATTGAACGTCATTATATTGAAACTCAACATCAACAGTTGAGGTGTTTCCTTAAATATATTCAACTGACAAGTCAAACTTGAAGCCACATGGAGATATAAAAATTTTACTGGGACGGGGAAATTCGATTCCCCGACATCTGAATTCAGCACGAAAATGATCAGGCATTTTCATTTTATTAAAAAATAATAATTTTCTAGCGTGAACTTAACTCTCAAACAAACCTAATTCAGTGAACACAATGATCTCTTAAATTAAAGAACACGAATATAAGGCAATATGTTTCATTTTCTCTCTCTATTCCTTGCACTACCATTCATCTCATGAACGAATTACGAATGTAGGTCTTGTAATTCCTATCACAATAACCATTTGATCACTAATCCCTACGGTCTTGCAAGCATGACTGAAAAAATGCAACGTAAGCTTATCATCGAACTTACGACTGAAAAATTAAAGGTAAGATCATAACATTGAACTTAAGACTGAAAAATGAAGCGTAAGATTATCATCATTGAACTCACGACTTAAAAATGAAGCAACAAATTTTATCATTGAACTTACGACTGAAAAATGTGGAGCAAAAGATTATTATCATTGAACTTACGACTGAAAAACTAAGCGAAAAATTACTATCATTGAACTTACGACTGAGAAATGGAGAAAAAGATTATTATCATTGAACTTACGACTAGAAAATGAAGCGTAAGATAATCATCATTGAACTTACGACTAAAGAATGCAACGTAAGATTATTATCATTGAACTTACGACTAAAGAATGCAACGTAAGATTATTATCATTGAACTTACGACTGCGTTAAAATGTTTCAGTTCTTGTGTCTGGCACGGCAGGCGCGCGCGTCTTTCTCATTTCCTGGAGAGCCGCTAAGCCTCGTTGCTGATGCGCCCATCTTGCTAACCCCACTCTTCATACGCGCTAAATTTCATATTATTTTGTATTGTGAACGCAGTTTTTTTATGATTTTAACATTTATACCTTAATATTTCGAGTGCCCACGAATTTTATCTGTAGCAACTCAAAAAATTGTATCCTGCCCGGTGCCTTGATGTGCGAATAGTTCTTTTTTCGGGGAAAAATTAGGTACTTCGATTCTTCATTCAATTACTCCTTGAAAATTCAAACAAAATTTCCAATTAACTTTACAATTTCAACGTTTGTTTGTGTTATATATACAGGTTCAAACTAAAGTCAGTTATACTTACGAGTTTTAATTTCTATCATCAGCCTTAGTTACTTACATAGCTTTTTAGTACTTTATAAATGCTGAGAAGGCATTTATAAGGGAAGGAGGGAAGTTCACCCTTGCGACATTCCAGAGACGACTGGACAAGTTTTTTGAGAGAGATCCCAGACTGTCCAGTAATGGGAAACTACCCTCAGTAACTGACAAGCAACAGCATCTTGCATCAGCTGGCCCAAAGGCCAGCTGACTATCTCCAGCCGACTATAAAAAAATTGTATTTCAAAATATACGGAACACGTCCAACGTTACATTCGGGACCCGAGGGCGGGGTGACCTGCCTATAGCGACGACTCGTAGACGGAAGACGACGAAGGCGGCGCATCAGCGTGACCGGGGACTAGGAAGTAACAAACTCATCGTAATGTCATAAGGTTATTCAAGAGTTCCAGTCCAAAAAGATTCATCGGGTGGAATATTTTCTCCGTCCAATGTATTAAAAATCAGTGAAAATGTATATTGAAGAAGAAAAAAAAGCATGTGTGAAATTCAAAATATACCTGACTATTAGGCGATTTTAGCTTACAGTATTTTTTGCAAACAGACGACTATCAAAAAAAAATAATTGTCTTTCAAAAATATTGAAAATTTGAATTTTTTTAATCTAAATCCACCAGAGGCTGGTTGAATATCACAAGAGTTTCGTTTAAAAATTGCCTATTAAAATTATGAATACAGTTTTTTTCTATACACATCACATCTACAAATGAAACCAATCAATGGTTATCTGAGAAACTAATTATTATTTGAAAATTTTGTTTTATCCTCAATATCATATAATGAATATCGCTCCCAATATTGTTTAAGTAAGCAATATTACTAATATAGCTTCCATAAAAATGTGTTGTACATTCTTAATATAAGATTCACGTCTTATTTGTTATTTTTGACTTGAATAATAATTGTTCTTTACCTGATAGACGCCGTCCATTACATAAATAGGAGCAAGCCCCAGTTTATCTCGCATTTCCAACCACATTTTCAAAATCATGTTCAAATAGAGCATCATGTCATCGTTCCCAAGAAGAGTATCGTAGAACTTTAAAGAAGTTTGCAGGTGCAACCGAAACCAAAGTGAACATCGCTCAATGCGGGATTCTGTACCAGACTGAGAGTCGAA